CCTGGAAATTCATCTAATATTTTGTGATTATACATAATTTCCATGTTATTCATAATGTGTGTGTATGCATACACATATATATAGTTTTTGTGCATATATACCTAACCTTTATAGCTTACCTTATAGGTTACCTAAAAGAACATTTAGGTTCTTTTTTTTTTTTTAACTATTTTACAGAGACTTGAATAAATTTGTATACTCAAAGAGCTTTAGTAAGTGATTTTTTTTTTTTTGATGAGTAACTAGGGGCTCAAAATCTTTTCCAGAATAATTACATTTATATTAGCAGCCCCAAATTTTCAAGTCTTTCAAATGAAATAATCCAAGCATGTTGCTTAATTTTAGGGGAGCCAATTCCAAGAAACTACTGAAGTACAGGGAATAAACATGAATTTTATATTACATTTTATTTACTTGGTTTTGAATTTTTAAGTACATCTAATTTGGTAACCACCAAGAAATCCAATCATCTTATTAAACTATACCAGTTAAATATCTCAAAATTTTAAACAATCCCCTCTTTTACTTTCTTCATACTATAAAATACTTTGAAAGAGTTAAAGCAGCCTGCTCTGGTCTGTTCTATAAAATTTTTCTGTTTCTTAAAGATTGTCTATCATAGACCCACTGCTTTTTTAAAAATGCTATTACAAAAATGAAACATTTTTCCCTAAGTCTAAAAATCCATTGGCTCTATTCTTGATCAATAATAAAAAGCTGACTATATGAGTTTCTTTGTCACTAAAGGCCTACTTATCACTCACCGTATTTCAGAGAGAAAGAGAGAGAACCAACCACGTAAGGTCTGCTTTTAACATAAAGCACAAACCAGGAACAGTGCTTCAAAACAATTAAAGTAAAGCTGTGGTTAGTAAGGCTCCCAAAGCCCAGGATTCTTCACAGACTCAAAATTATATAGGGGGAAAAAGTCATCAGGCTCCATTTACTGGAACAGCCAAAACAGAACACAACTGGACGAGAATCAGCAAATTACTAAACTTCAGAAATAGCTGAGTCTGTGCCCTTCCTGACAGATAAGGAAAGAAAAATGCCACAAAGAAAAGGTTGATATAGTGACTTTTGGGAGCCCCATTACTGGTTTACACCAGAGAACAGACTAGTTCTTGAGTCTAATGGGTTACTTTCTCATTTCCACCATGCCATTGTGCTTCAACCTGTACTGTAAATTCAAATGTAAATATCCTTTAATTCAGCAACTCCAATTCTGGATATTGACCCCCAGACAGACAGGAGATAGGGCTTCCCAGGTGGCTCGAGAGGTAAAGAACCCCCCTGTCAAAGCAGGAGACAGGGTTCCATCCGTGGGTGGGGAGGATCCCCTGCAGGAGGGCATGGCAATGCATTCCAGTATTCTTGCCTGGAGAATGCCACGGATAGGGGAGCCTGGTGGGGTACAGTTCATAGTGACACAAAGAATCGGACACGACTGAAGCAACTTAGCACAACACACACAGAGCACATACAAGAGATAGACAGATGGATCTGAGTTACACGGTTTCAGATCTACATATCCATCTATATATAAATCAATATGTAGATATAGTAGTAAATGTAAAGATAGTCACTGCAACATTGTAACACATAATGTTACCTAAAATAACAAGTGAAAGACTGGCTGAATACATTATGATACATCCACACAATGCAATACCTTTCAAAAGAATGAGGAAACTGGATGGTACTGATAACAAAACATTTCCAAGGTAAGTTAAAAGAAAAAAGTCAGGTATAGAATTGAAATGTGCACAATATGATACATTTACGATATAAGAAAAACACATCAGTTTGTAAATGTAAAGACTATCACTGGAAGGATATGCAATTAGTTTTAATCATGATTTTTCTCCAGAAAGGGAAAGCAGAAAGCTTTAGAACAAGGTACCTTTCACTATATGTCCTTCCCATACTTCAAGTCTTGCCTTGAGCACATGTAACATAACACAAAATTTGTTTCTAAAAAATAAAATATTATAATGAATAAAAATTATTTGGGGGGAGGGGGGGCTGCTCCACGAAGCATGTGGGATGTTAGTTTCCTGACCAGGACCCAGGACTGAACCTGTGCCCCTTGTGGTGGAAGCACAGAATTGGCACAGGATAGGCAGGAAAGAAAAATATATTATTTTTGAGGTTCTGGTGGAACACCAGAAAAAAAATTGTAAGAACTCATATTATTAACATGTACACGTAATGAAATAAATCTATGTGTGTATTAGAAATAAACCTCCAATTTGAGAAAAAATAAATAAACAAAGAGTAAGATGGCCCAAAATGGAGACGGAAATATCCAAGACAAAAATCTTTCTGAGAACAAAAGAAACGCTCTCCTGGAAGATTTCCATGTTCAATACCCACACCTGAAAAAGATCACTCCACCTAGGCTTAGAATGTCCTAGAACAATAGAACTTTTAAGGATTAAAAGGGAACCAGGGGAGAAGGGGAGTAGCTGAAGTGGATGTAGCTGATTAAGTAACAAAGCGTTGGAGGGAATCCTAAACAAACAAGCCAAGACGGGGGGAAAAAACTCATCTGAATTTGAAAAGGACATTCCATTCTAAACTGGATCAAGGCAGGAATCAATCCCAAACTGAACCAGTCTCTTTTGACTTTCTCCCCCAATCTCAGGGCATCTGTGATACAATTAAAAAAAAAAAAAAATCATTGCTTGAATTCTCTTCAGCTAAACAAGGCTTAGCAAAATAGGCATAAACATAAGTTAAAGGTGTCACTAATCAAAAAGTATATCTGCCTTTGATTCTATGAGCAGATGTTCATCAGTTTCCATGTCCAAAAGCCGAAGACTGTTATTCTATTCCTTTGTTCGGATAAACATTTGGTTTATTTGCAAGACAGGGTGCACTTGACCCAAAAAAGAGTCAACAAGAGACTTTGAACTGTTTGTGGCTTGTTCATTTATCATTCAGATCTTAGCCTATGTTTTCCCATTTCCAAAAGGCACTTTCCCACAGCTTCAAGTCCTTATTTCCAAGGTTTCAGTATTATATTTCCAACTCCTCACTAGATTCAAATAAGCCCTCTTCTGTATCCATGTCCCACCAGAACCTCAATGCCAATACCACACCCTATCTCAAACCAGGTCCTCTTATTAACCTTCTGCTTTAAGATCAACACCATTCTCCTAGTCATTGGTGTTCCAAAAGTCAGATATGCTTGCCCACTACCCATCCTTCCCTCTCTTCAGAAAAATGATTTAATTAATCTATGGCTTCTCCAGCTCAAAGTCAAAACCCTAATTCTACTTCATTTCTTCTTAGATTCTGGCCATCTACCCTCATCACTAGACTGATCACCAACAGAAGGCTATATAACAGGGGTCTCACACTCATGCCTACAGGGACAATGCAGTTAGCATATAGCAGTAAGGCTGGTTAGGAGTCTGAAGAAATAAAAGAATAAATAGCAACTGAGGCTGGGTCTCAGTACCTGGGGGGGAAACAGGATGAGCCAGGACTCTGGTGAACACAGCACGCATCCCCTCAGACAGACACAATCACAGGTTTCCTGCAGGAACAGAGGCCTACTGCTGCCAGAGCTTTCAATTCCGCAGGAGTAGGTGGAAATTTGGACTTTTTTGTGCGAAATTTCCCCCTATTTAAATGTTGGCAACCATTTGAAAAAAATGTTTTGAATGCAATATCAAGCAGGACAAAACTGCAAGGTGGATTCAGCCCACAAACCCTGTTTGCAAGCTCTGCTCCACAGCATGATGACGTGGGGATGCATAGCCTGGATCAAAGCTCAGACACGGGACCTCAGACTTCTTCTGTCACCCTCTAAGTCTCAGAGTCTCTTTCTGTAGAATGAGGATAACAAGATGAACTACCACATGGAGTTGTGTGATCCTTGAACGAGAGAATGCAAACAAGGAGCCTGATCAGGGCCTCCTTCACAGGTACTATTATCTTATTGATGCTCTCTAAAAATTAAGTCTAAAACCTCCAGCCTGGCATTCAAAGTAAACCATGATTTGACTCTTAATATCAGTTTTCTTCTAAAGTGCTGACCTTCAGGTACTCCAGTCACATTGCAAACAGCTTTTTAACTTTATTAACTTCCATATTTTGCTTAGCAAAAAAAAAAAAAATAAGTGGGAGAGGGGGAGGGTATGCAATATAACCATTTAAATAGGACTGGCCATTCTACTCAGGACACTTTGACCCTGAAATTAGTGCAAGCTGGAAGACACGAGTCTGTTGTTTCTTTGCAATGTCTCAGGTCTTAATGTCTCTCCAAGAAGCTATACCTCAAGGCACTGAGTCTGATTCCAGTGATTAAAAATATGTACGGTTCTGTGTTTTACAACGAGGCTCTTAAACAAAAGCCAGCTACCTCATATTTACGTGCCCCATTCCCTGCTTTGGGAATGTTGCCTGTTCTGTAACCTACACGTATACATAATAGATACCTGTCCAAATGAGAGCATCAGAATGGTACCTCTTTCCAAGGCCAGCTAAACAGCTACTTCCTCAAAGGAGTTGGTCTATGCTTATCCCTCTGTATCTTGTGACCAAGATACTTGGGAGTTCTGCCCTTTATAGTTACATGTGCAATTCTTCAAACCCTTACTCAAGTGCACCTTGAGATCAACTTGGGTTTTTACTGAACTGGATAAATGTTTAACAGATGAAGAATAAAGAAGGGGGGAAGATGAAGCAGCAGCAGCAGCAAGGCAAGGAATCGGCAGTGATAAGGACAATAACAACAGCGATGGTGGCTGTCATGGGATTCACGCTCTTACTTACATCTTTTAATGCAAAAAGCTGCCCCCTATTAATCCCGTGCTGCATTTCTAAACAATAAATGTACAGGGTCACCTTCCCCACCTCTCTCTCATCCTTTTGGGGCCTGTTACCTGCTGTCCCCATATTACTGAAAAGTCACCTTTCCATTCAAATATAATCTAAATAAACAGGGAGCTAAATGGCTCCTGCCACCAGTTTAAATCAATTAGCCCCACCTTCGCTGTTGGTTGGGAGCAAAATAATGATGCACTCTTGAAGCTGATCCAAAACCCATATTAGTCACTTTAACCTGATTTGGAAAAACAATCAAAGACCCCTACATAGAGAAAAGAACAACGGGGGGGGGGGGGGGGAGCAAAGGGGTGTGGGTCATCCTTAGAATGACGAAGGCTCATACAAGAAGAAAAACAAAATTCTCGCCCAGATTAGCAAACATTCAATAAACGAATTAAGGCTGATTTTCACAATACCTAGAACAGGTTTTTTCAAACTGCTGGTTAAAACACATTAGCAAGTTGTGAAATCAATTTATTAGATAGAGACCAGAATATTTTGTAACAAAAATTGAATTAGAAACTAGAACGCACTGCAACACTGTTCTGTAAAATGTGTAATTCAGCTTCATCTTTAACATGCAGGTGGACGCGCATGTATGTACTCAGTCATGATATAAAATGAATTACCGAGAGTCAAAACTGTTTTTAAAACACTGAAATAGAACGTGTGTGTTTATATAATCTCTGGGGACTAAGATTTTCCATTTTTCACTAGGCCACACATAAAATAAGAGAATGTCTGTTCTTAACACCTGTTGTGCACAATAGTTCAGTTCTTCAAGTTCAAAAAAGCATATGAAAAATTATCATTTAGCACACTTTTCCCTTACCATTTTCCTGTTCCCAGGAAGGAAGGTAAAGGTCACTCTAGAAAACCACCTTCACTTTTTCCTCCTCCTGATTGTCCCTCCATATATTTCTTTTTTGTTGTTAGGCTGGTTGTTTAATTTATTCAGTAATCTGTATTTTTTAAGATTGATACAAATTATCAACACATTTATTGAGCAACTATATGTATACAAAGCATTCTTTTAGGAAATGTGTGTGAAATGTGACATGGTGGTATTTATTTTTTTATATTAATTTATTTTAATTGGAGGCTAATTACTTTACAATATTGTAGTGGTCCCTCCATATATTTCTATCTTGTCTAAGTTCCTGACATCAAGTTACAAGCCCAAAAGCTCTACCTCTCTTAGTGATATTTGCTTATGAGCGTTAAACTATCACTTAAGGAGAGTGAGCAAGCACAGTGGATTTTCACCCAGAGTGTAACATCACTCATCAACCTTCAATAGTGAAGATTCAGAATTTGGTTTAAGATACCTCCTCAGCCTAGCTCCTCTAGACCAGAAATAGTTTTGCTCAACTTCTTATGTTTTTCTCAGTCCCTTGCTCTCCAAACTTCAAGTATCACCCTACATCTAACATTCAGCTTTGTAAAAGATCACCCCATCTTCCTTTATCCCCTCTGCACATTTCTCATCAAACTCAAGGTTACTTTTTAGTTCAGTCAATAATTCTTCCATAACTACCTAAAAAAAAAAAAAGAAACAAAAGCCACAGCAGTCTTATTTTCAAAGGTATCCATACTGCATGGTGGCCACCAAGGCCTATCTGGTTTTCACAAATGAGCAAGGCACCCAGGTGTCAAGCATTCAAGTGGAAAAGGTCTACATGGGATACCCACTCAAAGCAGCCCTTAAAAACCTACTGAAAGAGGAGTTTACTTTGGATTCCATCCATTTACCCAACAGGTCATCCACCTTCCACCTCTCACATGAGTACTGCCTACCACACTATTTTCACTGTCAACTGTTTGAGAACAAATGCAACAGAGAAAGTCAGTGTCAGAGAGTCAATTCACCAGTGTTTGAGTAGCAGCCCCACTCCCACCGCCCCGCACATACACAGTACTTCAGGAGTCCCTGGGTGGCTCAGACGGTAAAGTGTCTGTCTACAATGCGGGAGACCTGGGTTCGGTCCCTGGGTTGGGAAGATTCCCTGGAGAAGGAACAGCAACCCACTCCAGTATTCTTGCCTAGAAAATCCCATGGATGGAGGAGCTTGGTTCAGGCTATTGTCAATGGGGTCGCAAAGAGTCGGGCACGACTGAGCGACTTCCCTTTTCAGGAGTCCTAGCTCTGCAGGGTAAGAAAAATAAGTTGAGATACTCTTCCCCTCAAAAGATGTGTCATCCTGAAATTCAAAAACAATCAAAAAAGGAAACATATACTGAAAAGAATAGATGTCTTTTGAAATCACTAAGTACAAGTTATAATACCATGCATGATAAAGGGATATAAACAATAGTTCCTTCTACTTAAGAGTGTCTTTTGTCCCCAGCTCCCAAACTCACATTTAAGGACCTGTGCCTGGCATCATCATCTCTTGAGACCACCTCCCTGATTGTCTGGGTTACTTTGCCCCTCTCATATACAACCATCCATTCATTCTCTTAGCAATTAAAAAATGATTTACTGACTGTGTGGTCTGGGTCAGGTATTATATAAGGCGCAAGAGATACACAAAGATGAATAAGACACAAGGAGCCCATTAAGAGGATTTGAAAAGTTTTCAATCGGTGACAGAAACTGAATTCTGCAGGATTTTAAAAATAGAGAAAAGAATAACCTCAAGTCCTTGCTCCCAAAGAGATCAGTCAAATCCCAGCATGAGTACTGAAGATGGCCCAACACTAGAAGAATGTCAAAAGGTAAAATCCAGAAAGCACATGCTTGCAATGAAACCACTCTGAGCCCTAAAGGATTGGTTCTCCCCAAAAGTGTGGAAAAGGACAAAACAGCCAAGACGTAGCCTTATGATGAGAGAGCTGAACTCCTACAAACCCATCAGGACATCTGTGCTAAAGAGGTCCCGCTGACCTAGTCCATCCTTCAAAACACAAACTTCACCTGCTGCATGAACATCCACAAAATCTGGAAAGGCTAAAATTTAAAGTCACTTCCCCAGTCACAGAAATAAAGGTCAAATACCCAGAGCAAACAGTGAAGCAACTCCAATGGGCAAAGTGGAATGTTGGTCAGAGACTAAAACCCAAAAATCAAACACCTGAGCAGTGGTACCTCTGGAAAATAAAGCTCTCAAGATCACAGAAGTCTTTAGACACATAAACAAGCTCAGATTTCCAGAAACACACTTAAGAGCACAAGAATATTGATCAGTTGTGCAGCTGGCTTGAGTATTGGGGTAGAGGGAAATACATTTATTTCAACTTCAAAAAGGAAGCTGTTGGGCCTCTTAATAATTTTATGAGCATAAGTTCAAGTAAAACTACCTTCTATCTGAAACAAACAAACGCTGTGATGTGCCAGTCACGCCCACCTGAGCAAGCTCTTCCATAAGTGGTCTTCCCAATAGACAAATTCTGGTTTAGAACTTCTGATTCTTCAACTAGCATGGTAAGCAAGAGCACTCCATAGCTAAGGACTAAAAGAGAAGAGGTAAATCTTCCATTTGGTTCTTCTAAGAGCTGGAGTTGGCTGCAGAACGAAACAGCAAGTTTTCACTCCAAGGGATCAAAGCAGGCATTTTGTACCAGGAAACCCAATTCAATCCTCATTTCCAGGAATAAAGCCACAGTGCCCAATATTTGCTTGGGAAAATAAAACAGGAGACTATGCGGACTCTAATTAAAATCTCTTGACAGCTTTATTTCCCAGCCTCACCAGTTTAAGGCTGTGAACATTTTAGCCAGGCACTGATTTAACTTAAACACCAACTCCTGGGTCTGAACGGTCACACTTAGCACCAGGTAAAAAAACGAAAGCGTTTTAACACTTCATGACAGTATTCCTTGCCCTGTCCTGAGCACGAGATGTATAAGACAACGTGATACTGAGAACTTCAGCCCAGCCCATCTCGCCCATAACCGCAGTCAGGAGAAACCACACAGCCACCTGTGCTATTATTTTAGTCACAATACTGGAAATGAGAAAATGGGTTGGGGGGGTGGGCAGAGGGGCTTACCTCAATCTTATTTGGATATGACAACAATCAGCTCGCTTTAAAATTATCACCTGGGTTCTTGTCAATCAGCCAACAGTTCTTGTGTGCCTACTTCACACAGGCACCAAGCTAAGTCTATATAGTGCAAGGAAATATTCCCCAAGTAATCATTATGTTGATAGTTATGTGTTTAATTTTCTTAATCTTTTTACAAAAAAGTATGTATCCTGTATGTAGGTTATAAAGTCTAAAAATAAAATCAGCACCCATGAACCCATCACTCAAAAACCAGAATATCAACCAACATTGTATCATCTACCTACCTCCTCCACCCCACCCATATCCCCAGGTGCCTGCAGCACACGCACTCACACACACACACCCACACACACACACCCCACACACACCCCACACACACACCCAGGAATTCATTACCCAGAATTTGGGTTTCAATCTAAGTGGCAACGCATCTTTAGGATTATCTCCTAATCATTACAGGTGAGTTCGCTTTCCAAATACAGCAGTGATATACTGTTTCTTCTTAAAACACGGTGTATTTAAGGCTTTTTTTTTTTAGGTAAACTGCTGTTTTAAAGAGAAATACTAACAGACTAAGTGAGACAGGCTCGATTATGGTAAACTCATGATAGTGTACAAATGAATTAAATTTGGCAAACACTGGCAAAAACAGCCAGGAACAAGGGTACCAGCATCCCACAAACTCCTAGTTCAAATCCTTACTCCACCCTTGACAAGCTCTACAGCTTAGGGCAACTCAGTTTTGCCAAGCCACAATTCTTTATTGTAAGGGAATGGAATAATAATAAAACATTTGGTTGTTGTGAAAATATAATGAAAAAGTGCATGTAAAGATATGAGCACAGTGCCTGGCCCGCATCCAGTCCCCTCCTCCCCAAATCATCATATCTGTCATTAAATTCACTCAAAACATATCAAAGGATTTTGCCACCACCAATAGTTTATATTTCCCTAGTTTCTAACACGTAAAAATAAATCAAGAGGCAGGGATCCAACAGCAGAACAGTCACAGAGGACAATTCCTAGTCCCAGCTCCTGTTTGCCTAAAATTATAGTATACACTCATTGATTCCATCTCCACCTTGTGACCTTGAATAGCAGGATCATTTTTCAAATCCATTTCTGCCCCGGCCCTCCCTCCCTGAGAAGGCTGGACTATTCAATCCAACCTTACCTAGAAGCCTATTACAATCATCACAGGACTAGTTCT